AATTACAGTATGTACACAATACTGATTTTCGACAAATATGAAATGTATTTTGGTATATTCGTACCATAAAATACATGAAAAATTGAATGTTGTGCAGGGCGTATGTAAAGCTAATCCAAGAACTCCTTGAAAAATCTTCTGTATTAAGGATTTTGATATATGATATTCATAACGTAAAAGGCTCCAGGGAGTTCTTTAAGGTAAATATGATCTAAGAGCAATAATTAGTTGTCTTGCTTACTTTTATTATTCATGTTTACTGGAAAAATATGTGTGCTGTGAAACTTCTGATTTTTTGCACTTAAGATCTTACTATAATAGATATTCTGTAAACTGACATAATTCGAGAAAACTAATTTTTCGACAAGTATAATGCCCGGTGTGAAAGCAACCTGGTGACCTGCAGCATTCCAATTCGAAAAAGGAAATATTTTTCCACGACGTAAAATACTTTTATCTTCCACAAGGTAGCGTGTTGTCTCTCCGCAATGAATAAGGTATTTAATTTTTCTTTCAAATTTAATCTGTCTGTTACCGATTTACAAACTCCCGGTCCTGACATTACACCGTCATGCGCCCTTCGGGCTTAAGTGTCATGAGCAGGACACGTTGACTTCCAATAGCCAATATTCCGGTAATAGTGATAATGAATGAATGAATGAATTTAGAAACTAAGCGATTTAAAGATTAAAACAATTAAACGCTCTTTAAAGAAACAATTTCATCTCCATTATTAGAAATTACTAGGTGGATCTGTAAAATTGTACTAAATCGACAACTCATTAAAGTTATCACATAGGTTTTTCCTTTCATAGTAACTATTTTAGGCGACTAGCCAAGCCAACAGCTAACCTTAGAAAAGTTAAGCCTTGTTTAATGCGGAGCGATGAGAAAATTACTATCACAAATCATCAGAATAAAAGAAAAGGAGATGAAAACAAGTATGATAACAGCAGCGATAGCAGTTGATGTCACTGAATTTAAGTATTGTTTTTATTCGCAACAATACATGCGAGTAATTTAATTGTTGCTGTCGCTTCCAGGTGGGCAGACTATCCTCAATTCCAGGCGGATAGACTATCGTCAAAAACTGCCAATACTCTTCGGTCATTAAGTCGCTCATCACCGGAAACGTTGCCAAGGCGTACGGTAAATGGTGTCCAATTTCTCATCCGCGAGCACAGTGAAGTTATGTCCCAGTTTTGATGGAAAAAAGCCGAAAAACACTAACACTCTGACTCACTGATCCTAGGACTTGACTAGTTTCTCGTTGTATTTGCCATCCTGGAAGATGCTCTGTAGAACTTCCTAGGCGCACACGCGGATAGAGCCAGCAGGTTCAGATGGGATTTTTTAAAAAAATTATAAAAGATTACAAAGTCAGAGATACATACACTTTCCAATCCTTAGTGATTTGCATAGCTGTTTTTACACTGTTTTGTTGCTGTGGTTTTACTTACAGTTTTTGTTAAAAATTAAATTAATCTATTTATATTGCTTCTTCAATGGATATTACTAATGGCTCACATTACTAATCATTTGCAAAACCTTAACAGAACATGATATAAATATCATATTCGCTTAGGAGAACGAAATACGCTATCCCTCTTATGAGGGTTATAAATTATATCAAATAATTCCTTTTTATTACTCCTTTAAAATATATTTCCATAGAAAAATTGCAATTCTGAACAATCTTCAGTTATCCCAGGATGCAGAGTTAGAGTTTTTAAGATAGCTCGAGAAGAGTGCGTGTACCGTTAGATGATGTGAAGCCGTTGCATGTATATAAGTTTGATGTTTTAGACAAAATTTAAAAGTTCTGCGTTCGATTGTGGCCTCAGTTTATTTGTTCCGCGACATTTTTATGAGTTTTACAGATGTGATATTTCTTAGATAAGGCACTAGCAACGTTGTTGGGTAGTCGTGCTTCGAAGTGGTGTTAACTGCCGGTTTAGGTAATTCATTCGTTTGTTTGTTGCCTTGAATACTAGCGCGCACTGAATACTGGTAGAACAATGGTCTTTAGGGCAATCAGCAGCTTTGCTACTCACTTACTCGGTTCTGCCGTTTGAGCCTTGTACTGCCATTAGACTAGAGGCCAAACTGCTAAAGATCACTGCACAATCATTCTTTTAAGCTGCATGTCTTATGGCTGCCTTCAGTGCTGTAAGCTTAGCCTGAAAAGACCATATTTTTATATTCAGTCGTCGTGTCCAAGTTTTAGTAGTTAAGCGTTTTTGTTGGGCGCAGTTTTGGTCCACAACCCTGTGCGTAAATTGTGCGTGTATATCGCAACTTTATATGTAAAACAGACTTTTGAGTCACTGATATGATTACTGTTAGATCAACGTGTGCGTGATGTTACAGTATAGTATGTTTCTGCAGCTCATAATCCGTACTGATATACGATATAATATACATATCATCCCAAAGTTTGGAGTTGCATTGTAGCCTACTGATTCTTGTTATTGTTCTTTCCTTTCCTATTGTTGCATTTAAGGAGGGGTGGACTCTCTCTAATACTTGAAGTTGTTCTTTTGTTGAACTTGCTAACAAAGAGACTTTCGTTTCAATGGTGTGAAAGTGAGGCATCCATACAGGTTTGCTATCAAGCGTCACTCCAAAATAGGTTAAATCTGGAACAGACTTGATTGGACATACCAGAAGTTTTACAACTGGTTTGCGTTTTAGAAACCACATATTCTATATTTACGTAAGTTGAATTTTTTTAGCTTAGATTTTTGAGCTTATGAGTTCGGCATTAACTGGCATGAATACCAAAGCTTGGCTGTGAGTTTTGCTCAGCATATTTTCTCGCACTTTAATGAGGACAAAGTTTCCAGTGAAGGACTTTCCAAATTTGAAGGCGATGCCATTAAGGGCATAGAACAGGCATCAAATGGACTGACCAGAGTCACATCTGGTCTTATTTCTGACCTTTATTTAAACTGCTGCACTTAATCTAGAATTCAGTTTCAGAGTGACACTTTAATGTGAGGTGGCCGCTACCGTACTTCAAGGAAGTTGGGAATTCCTGCTTATGTTCCCAAAATATTGACAGTTAACGCAGCGCTCGATATTAATGTAGGGAAGTAGCAAACAAGATTAATAACCAATCGAGAGGCCAACTGTATGCTTTAGGTCATCTCAAAATTTGGACGTTTCAATGTACAAATACATTTCTTCTTTCCGTTTTTCCTTCAATGGCTTTGCGTATGAAAAAGAGCTGGTTGATGAGGACGCAACATTATCTGCCAGTAGTGCTACTGTTCCATCTGCGTCAAAGTTTTCTGAAATTTTGAGAACAATGAAGGGTGATTTGAGGAAATTCTTGGCTTGGTCTCCCAAAATTCTGATTTTTCTTGCTGGGGCTTATAGTCTAACGCTTCATTGAGCCTTTCTAACCGTGCCTTCTCCGAAACATTTTATGAGAAATTTCCTAGAACTCATAGGGCGAATTTGAATGATCGAAGAGACTAATGAAGTTAGACATATCCAGTTGCTTACTGAGCTTTGATAATCTCTGGAGTACGAGAAGCATCCTTACAGATAATGATTAACACATGCTCTTAGAAGCTCCTTTATTCAAAGTCGGTTTCATTTTCCTAAAAGTTACAGTTGCAAACGGCGCTTATTCGTTAGTAGCAGTAGGTAGGGTCGTATAATGTACCATTATTGGAGCTGTAGATTAACGGACTGTGATCCTTTCTGCTTCCACTAATTGCCCTTCCAAACAAAGTATTATTTAGTATGCAGTTCCTGCTCTACTAAAACGCTACACACGCTTAAAATATAGCTTTTTAGGGAAGCTAAAATAGCTGTATCTCAAGGTTATCATTCAAGTTCTTTTTCTTGCAAAGATATTGTCAGAGTCCTCATTTAACCAACCTGCGCGTTTTAGAGGACTTTACCCGTAAGGCTCTGTTCTGTTGAAATAAAAAAGATGCAGGAATAGTAATGCTAGTTTGGTCTATGGTGACGGCTGGTGATACTTCAGCAGACACCATTTCTCATATGCGAAGAAAACGAAAGATGTTTTGAGGAACTAATATTCCTAAATGTAGCGGGGATAATTATTCGCCACATCTGAACAGCTTTCTCAATAACAGCTAACACCTCATTACTAGGAATCCGATCAATGGAAAGGCTGACAAATGTATTTTAAACTCTACTGCAAGGATAGAAACCTTGCTGAGTAACATTTTACTGTTGTAACAGTACTGAATGCTATTGCTTAAGCTACTATTGCTTAAGCAAAATTTTGTAATATTGAAGGTTCTCGAAATTCAAATTGCGAATTATTTAAAATAAAAATAAAAATAATAAATTACTAAAAATAAATTCATTTCGTTCTTAAATATCTACATCTATATATATATTTATCTATCTATTTATCAACTTAAAATCGATTTATATTAATTAAAATGTGAGTTATTCCTCTTTCCCGCCTTTTTTTAATGGCTACTGGATTAAACTTGAGTTTTAATTAACAATGTATAAATCCTCAGTATTATTCCGGTGAAACAGGCGTTAGCTGTATTTCCCTTTGAGGGAAATATTTCTTGAAGCCTCGTGCTCCAGCGATCTTGTGAAGTACAGGACAGTTGCGTCTTTATTAATAATTGTTTCTTTGTTAAATAAGTCTCTTTTAGCATTAGCTTAAGTTGAATTAACACCATATGAGTTCCCTCCTACCATTTGGCACCGCTATTTTTGACAGCATATTTTAGATGCAGTCAAACCTTAGAAGTGGAGGGGGGATTTCGAAATAAAGAATTTTCGGGATAGTAAAATGTTCATTCTGATTGAATTGCAGACCAACATTGTCTACAACGTTAAGGGTATAGAACAGGCATCAATATAACTACGAAAAATTATTGAAGCCAGTCTTTTTTTTTTTTTTTTTCACTAGCAACGTATATTGCAGAGTGCTAATGCATTTCTGTTAATATTGGAAAGTTTTATAACCAATCAATAATGAGAAAAAATGAATTCACCTTTTATTCTCAGTGAGCACATTATATTCCTTGGATAGTCATTTGGGTAGTTGGGACTGAAGAATTCTTTCTTTTGAGGATTTCCTACAGAGAAATTGTAGCAGGCTAGCTCATCACTACGGGTAGAGTCTTCATCAGATTTTTTGTCCATGCATTTGGCAGCTAATCACAGAAAAAAAGAAAAAAAAAATCACGTTAAAAAAAACACAGAGATGAAAAAATGACATTACAAGATAATCTTAACTTAAATAATTAGTGTTAATAAAAGCTTGTATTATCACATACCGTAGCGGGCGACAGGCAAACTTTGCACAAAAAAGGAAAAGGCCAGTTTTGTAGCTCTCGTTCTACTGGCATGATTGATGAAATTAACTATTTTCTTCATACTCGAAAGAGCGACTTAGGTTATATATGAGGTTTATATATAGTATTCTTCAAACATAGGTATTTTTACAAAAAAAAAAAAAAAAAAAAAAAAAAAAAAATGGAGCTTTTTCTGAAATGACATCCATATTTTTCCATATTTCCATATATGCATATTTCGATTCTACGACTTGAATTATGCCTAACTATTAAATGATGTAAAATTTGATGGGAAACTTACCGAAAAATTCAAAATTTTATATTGGCGCACTTTTTTCAGTTTGCGCCAAGAATGATTCACTTCGCGAAATTCTTGATTTATTGTAACCTGTTTTCTTTTGCCTTTTTTTCAGTTGCGCACGAACGGAAAAATGATGCATAATTCATTCTTTTAAGTAACTTTCAAATAATTTTAACGAAGTGCCTAAATCACATTTGACGTTATAGCATATAACAAATATGCTGAATTTCAAAACACGCCAATTCATAAAGCCACATATATCCTGGAAAATTTTGAAAAAAAAAACACTCTAATTTTTTGCTGATGTGCCTAGAAATATACCTACGTTAAGGTTATGGTAAAAATTGTATGAGTTTTTATTCAAAAAGATTTAAAAACATTTATAAAACTTACTAAAAATACAAATTTCAAAAACAAATTAAAAATATCTGCGAATTTTACTTGGAATGAATCTAAATTTCAAATTATGAAAGAAGAAATCAAGATAGTTTAATAACAGATATATTAATAAATATATACCAAATTCAATTAACATTGAGGAGCTAAAATTTTGAGGCCGAAAACGGAGTACCTTAAAACAGGTGACGGAAGACGGTTAACCTGGTCCTAACAGTTAAACAGGTAGTCTCAACATCTTCTTTCAATGTAGAGATGTTCGTAATTTCAATACAAATACAGCATTTCGTTTGAAAATATGATGTTCTCCGTTAGCATTAGGATGGCATTCAAAAGTTGAATCTGGATTTAACTGGCTTAATCGCAACTGTCTAATGGCTTCCTATCCTTGTAAGATTGGTATTGGTGTCCTTGAAGATGATAAGTGACATCTGAGGTCAAAGATTTACCGCGTGGAAACCATACATCGTATCGCCAATGTACTTTGGCCTTTGTTGCCACGTTTGAATCTGTTTTCTGGTTTCAGCGCTTATTAATTACCGAGCTACTCCAAGCTATAAGTACACGGAGAGACAATTTGTAACAACGAATAGTTTGGTAGAATTTTTCTATAGAATTATAATGCGCAGGAAAACCAATTTAAGTAGTGGCCGTAGACAATGATGATGACAAAACGTTATTCACTGATTGGTAGAAATGTGCAATCTGCGAAAGTTCGTGCATAGGTTATGTTTAATTTTACTAGCGATTGTAAGATCTGATCTTCTCAGGAGCATATAATTAGACCAGACCTAAAAAAGACAATTACGAATTTATACCTATGTCTTGTAAGTACCACAGAGACAGGGAAAGGATGTAAATGACCCTATCATTGATCCAAATAATGGATGCACCAACTCGTGCTTACAGAAGCCAACACTTTTGGCTTCAAATCAAATGTAATGGATAAACTAAAGTTTATGAAATCTAAATTTTACCTAACGGCTTCAGTTTGATTAGCTTGCAGGTTGGCTCAGTAGGGGTTCTAGACAATGATGATGGCAAAATTATTATGGTGTCTCATTGTAATTCTATAGAAAAGTTCTACCAAACTATTCGTTGTCGAAAATCGGCGTAAACAAGCTTAATGACATGAATAACTAAACGCCGCAGAATTCTAATCGCTAGAGGATAAAAATTAGCAACGTGGCCTTCAAGCAAGCAAAACACGCTCTCATTTCACCTCCAAAACGTTCCTTTAAATACTTACTTCATTCTAACTAATTTAAATATCCCACGCCTGGAAATTTACATTCTGGCTGGGAAATGAAACGAGGCTTGATAGGAAAGGAAGTTAACATTAAGTAATAGGTTATATATAATATTAAATGATCCTTACAAGGTTAAGAAACACTTCTGACATCTTGATTTCTGCGCATTGAAGAATACGGTTTATAACCTTATAAGGTATTTTCACTTTCTTTCTGGCATGCCTTCGTGTTGTAACGGTAGCACCAGGTTGGAATTACTGTAATCTAAAGCTGTGTTTCAAGCGAGATGTGTTTCAATCATAGTGTTTTAAACGATCCTTCATTATTACAATGCAAAGCACTTTAAGGCACCAGTGACCAGTGATTTTTGACTAATAGCTGATAATATTGCTACAAGGAATAAAGATTTAAAATCTCATCTAAACGTTTATATAAATTATAATTTTAAGAAAAATATTCAAAGGGAGTTAATTAGCAATTACATTACATACATTATAGTCTAGTTACTCCTGATTTTTATATCAGCACTAAACGTGGGAGGAAAAAAATCATTTTACTTACTGAGCTCCAAAAGAGTAATAAAAAGATTCATAGAAAATTTGCGTGCGATTGTCAGGAAAATTGCATTATTCCCCAAACATGACAATTTAGGAAAACTAGGTTTGCAATTATTGGAAGTTAGCATCTTGCAACTAATTGTCGGTCTTAAAATCAATTTTCCCCCTAGGATCCAATTATGCAAAAAGACATTTGTTATGATTTTCGCGCTACATATTTCATTGTCTCCTTTGCGGTTTATTTCGCTGGAAAACACAAATATTGATCGCAAAAATTCATTTTTTCTTTTGAATTTGCTACGCTTTTTGTTGATAATGATTTCTTCATTAGTATATCATAAGCATTCTGGTGATAATTGGTGCACATATGACGCACTTTTAAAATTGCAGTTGTTATACCTGTAATATTATATCTTTTAAGAAAAAATTAACATTTTTCAGCAATCGATTGTTGAAATCACTGTTTCTTTTTGCAAAGAGCTGTAGCACGTTATTATTAATATGTTTTTCAGCTCGCCGATTTCTACTTCCTTGTGCGAAGTAAAGGAAGTGTTGTAATTGTGAAAAATTTCGGATATCATATTTAAAAACAAAACAGCCATTTTGATCGCTCTCGAATCCATTTCAACGATGTTTTTTGCGCGATATCTGCAACGCACAGACTCTTTTTTCAAAACGGATTTAAAATGGATTCAGAAGAGATATTTTTATGAAATCTGTACGTACGTATGTTACATAACTCAAAAACGAGTAGCCTTAGAACGTTGAAAATATGTGTATGGGACTGTTATAACGGGTAATGGGGCATCTTTCGTTTTCGTTGCATTCGGCTGCACCTTAAAAAAATTTGTGATACTGTATACATATATTGATCTGAGTGATATTGTATATCTGTATATTTATATATATGTGATATTTTGGCAGTCAGGTACATGAGTTCCGGACATTGTTGCGGCTGAGTGTTAAGGCAGCATCCAATGACGACACAGATGGATTTCACTTTTTACTATTCCATATTTTTATTTCAATTTTCATCGAAGATCATTTTTACTTTAGATGAAATTCTCCAAATTACATATTCAATAGTGATTTAGACTAAGTACGATTAAATTTAACTTTTCTGCGTTTAAAACTTCTAAAAAAGAAAAATGGGTTAAGCAAAGCGAAGTGTTGTAGCGCAGAGGAGAGAAGAATCTGATGCAAAATGGCGCGACTTCGTTATTTAAGAAGCGGTTACGTAATAGGCTCGAATGATCTAGAAAGTACTGGTCTAGGGGAAGATCCTGAATTGCAGAAAGTTAATTAAAGGTTGCTGTTTCGCATAGAGCAAAGCTGTCCTACTTTTATATTTTACATCTATGTGTAAGATAAAAAATATCAAAGCAAACTTCTAAATTGAATTCACTATAACCTCTTTTATTTTTTTATTTCATTTGGGAACTTCATCTATCTTTCCTAAAAATAGCGCTGTAAATCCAAAATGGCCTACGTCATTGAAATTAAATCATGCGATCTTACGTAACCCTTAATGCAGATACCTCTTGACCAATCAGCAAATTGTAAACCAAACTAAAAACTGAAACCTTTGATTCCCTCTCTTTTTTCTATGAACTGATGCGTCACTTTTGCTTGTGCTTTCCTCTTGGCCAGACGTCTTTCTGCAATTATGCGTGTGCTGCTATATTCGATTCTCTGGCAATAATATCAAAATTGTAAATGTTCTTTAATAGGCACGAGTAGAGCGCCAAGTGAATTGTAGCCACAAAATAGGAATTTAAATAAATAAAAGGAATGTAATTTGGCTCGACTGCTTCTTCTTCAAAATAGATGGAAGCTCTAAGCTTCATGTATCTACGCAATCAGCATTTCTGCGCATAGTGCTTCCAAAATTTGTGCTATCATTACAATAAAAGCCGCAGCCGATTTTCGAAACTTCAGTGTAGTTTATGCAACTCTCACATCGTTTAAAAATGGATAAAAAAAAGGAAAATATTCATCTGAATTCCTAATCAGGCCAAGGTTCAGATACATCGAAATGGTGTATAAAGTAAAATGAAAGTGATTTAACGGAGTTCACAAAGTGGTATTGAAGTGTGATTAATTTCTTTCGGTTCTAAATTTATTCTTCAGTTGTTTCCATCCGAAATTAAGTGCCGATATTCCAAAATTTTTTGATATTACGTGTAAAAAAGTTTTTTGAGTTTTTCTCCATCTGCATCATTATAAAATAACTTGCTCAATAATTGGTTGTATTTTGAAATTGAAAATGTAATTGTGGTACTGTGTATGAAAATATCAATTAAAATGTATAAGTAATCTAAGATTTTATGCAGGGAAGATTTTTTTTTATGTTAT